AATTCCTGTTGCAATCCCTCTCCAAACAAAAGTCTGCAATATTGTTTTTGTGTTTGTGGTTTCCTTGGCCTTCGGCCTCACCTTGGGTAGTGGTAGCCACGGCACCTAAGCCGGCTACAGCGGCTAGTGTACGTCGAGCTGTTAGTGGGCTTGGAAGGAACCTTTGCATAAATCCCTCCGATAAACGGCCCATTAACTCGATTGGTCACCTTCTTCAATATGGGCCTAAGATCGCCGGACAGCAAGGGCTCGACTGGAAAGGTGAGGACCATGCCGTGTTGGCGACCTTCTCTTCTCATTTTTTTCAAGCTTTTAAGAGACTGCGTTGTTGGGAATCTTCTTCCTCTGGCTCTGTTTTGTGCTTTATTTGGCTTAATATTTTTCTTGCAAGGCAAGAAATGATGTCTAGTTTCTAATATTTTTATAATTGGAGTAGTGGTCAATGGGTGAAAGCATTAAAATAATATGGACGGGACGACCGGGTAGGATGAATTGAGTGGATTCCAAGTTATCCCGGCTGTCAAAACTAGAAACTGAAGCCGAAATGTTTAGCCCACTTTGGTACTACCATTTTTCAAATTTGACGATGAAATAATAGAAGTGTGATTAGATTTTGCTTGGTTCAATTTAAATTTGTATTTAGCTTTGCTACCTGTCGGGAGATTCAAAGCAGTAAAATCATCATTTAATGTATTAGTGTTGCACGAAAATTCAGCGCTTGGATATAATAACAAAGTAGCAAGAGGAGGTACTAAAATTTTTTATAATGAAAAATGCTTCAAAATGAAAAAACCCATGAGGTATAGCCAGACAAAGTAATCCACTAAGTAATTTTAAGTACATAGATCGGCTATTCTCTTTAATTAGAGAAGATGGAAATAAAAAACTAATAATCACACATGTATAATTGTGGTTTAACTATAATAGTTGTAATTGAGTTACAACTGATGTAGTTGATCATGATGAGTAGTCGGTGGATGAAATAGCAGTAGTTGACTATAGCGATCGTAGGTGATGGTTGTAATAGTGGCAATTGACTACAAAAGTCATAGACTCATAGTTGGAAGTTGTAATAGAGTAAGTCATTCATATAGTTTGTAGTCGATGACTACAATAGCATCAGTTGGTCATAGAGGTCGTAGTAGGAAGATGCAATAACGTTAGTTGGTCACACAAGTCATAGTTAGAAGTTATAGTAATTGGCCACAAAAGTCATAGTTGTAAGGTGTAATAGTGTTAGTTGGCTACATAGGTCGTAGTTGGTCATGTCAATAGCATCATTGGCCACATAGATCGTAGTTGGAAATTGTAGTAATAGTTGACACATAGGTCATAATTGGTAGTTACAGGAGTGTCAATCAGTCACAGAGGCTATAGTGGAAAATTGTTGTGGTAACTGGCCACATAGATAATAGTTTGTAGCTGTAAATGTGTCAGTCGGCCACAGAGGCTGTGGTGAGAAACTATAGTAGTAACTTACCACATAAGTTATAACTGGTAACACTAAGAGTGGTAGTTAGCCACAGAGGCCATAGTGGAAGCTGCATTAGTAACTGGCTAGATAGATCATAGTTAGTAGTTGCAAAAGCGTCAGAAGTCCTGAAAGGTTGTATAGAGTAGATGTAGTAGTAACTGAACACATAAAACGAAGTTGGTTGTTGCAAGAACTAAGGGTGTATATATAGAGAAGATGTAAAAGTAACTGAGCACATAAGCACACTAGCCGCATAGGCCATAACTGGAACTGCACTGATTGGTGGTCGCAACCATTTTCTCGAGTTTATTATTTTACACCAAAGACATCACTTCTAGGTATGTAATGTAAGGATAAAAATAGGTGTTAGGAACAACTAATTAGTCTTGATGCAATTATCATAAATAGTTGTAGCCAAGAGTTGTCGTTATATCTTTAAAAAGATGTTATTTGTTACGTCGTATTTAGGGTACTTTGTTAGCAAACAAAGTTTATCGACGACAGTCAGCAGGGGACGCCAGCAGTAATCGACAGCAGCTGACGTCCAGTGGTTGTTGTGTTCGGCGGCTATAAAAGTTGGATGTTATCGTTTGGTCTTCAGTTCAGAACTATACTGGAATTTGATTCTATTTTTTCAAGTGAAAAAAGCAGGTCTATTTATAGTCTCTAGGGGGAAAGGCATTTTGTTCATTCGACAAATAACTCTCATAAGCACCTAATCGAATTGCTCATATTAATCCTCCTTCATTATAAAAAATTGTTTAATGATTTGAGGACCTTAATGACATTTAAGCAAGCTTATGCTCATTAAATTCCTCTAATAGAGACATGCAATTTGACTATAATTATGTTAACTTTTGAGCTCATTTGACCATGCAATTAAAGAACTGAAGCTTTCAAAACTGCTTTGATTTCTGGATTTGGACTTGATCAGACTCGGTTAAGACCAATTTTGTGATCATCTGGTTCATCTTGTTGAGACAATTAGTTTGATTATAAAATTATTGAAATCAAGACTTTGGATGATCTTTAATTTTAAGTTGCAATGTTTCTTACTCGAATAATGTTGCGAGATTGTTGCAATGTTTCTTACTCGAATAATGTTGCGAGATTGTTGCAATGTTTCTTACTCGAATAATGTTGTAAGATTCGTGTCAAATGATAAAATTTCTTGATGACACATCAAACTTAAAGGGAGATTTATATGCTCACCACATAATTTTTATGTACTTACAAAACTAACTTCTTAACTTTAATATTTATTTATATAATAACATTGTATGATAGAATACTCTCAATGCTAGAAAAGTTAAACTTTAGCTCAATAGGAATATATAGCATACAAATGCAGATAAAAATGTTATAAGCAAGATTTTTATATGAAAAACTTAAGAAGGAAAAGGACTATGTGACCTGGTCTTCGCAGAATTTTCTACTATTGTTGAATCATCTAAGGACATTGGACCTTATATCATTTGTGGGCTCACAAAACCTTAGAAAAACCTGTGAAGGGAGAGATGAAGAAGGATGGACACGTGCTCTCCAAACCCTAGCTTCCAATTTTTACGAAAGAGATGGAAGGAGAGGATCCAGATTCAGAGGTTTGTCTGTCGTTCCAATTAAGGCGGGAGAGCCTCTCTCATTTTATAAACTCTTAGATGGCTCTCAATCCTCATAGAACTGTACAAGGAAACAATATAAAGAATGTAATATTATAGACCATACAGTATGAAGTCTGTCCACAATGTCCCAATTGAAAGATAGTGGTGTGAGTGTCGGATGGGTCATAAATAAACATGGATGTATGTTCGCTCTTCAATGATGATCTTCACTTTGGTGGTCAGTTGAACACTCACTAAGAAGGTTGGTAGGTCTCTTTCAACAGGTCAATCTGACAGTCGATACATGACAACTAGCACTTAGGTAGGTGAGATCGACAAGTCACCTTAGTAGTCAACATATGGTAGTTGTAATTTAGAGAAGATGGGCCTTTTAGGCATATGAGGCATGTTAATATATGTATCAGACCATAAAATCCATTAATTGGTGTAAAACTATGTATTTGAAATGATAGAGATCCACTCATTTCCTTGTATGGAGAAGATGAGGTGACAATATTTGGACTAAGCTACAAAGATAGAAAAACAATAGTCTAAGGATAATAATCGAGCTCATATTCACAAGCTAGTAGTTGGGCTACAACAATCACAGGGCAGCAATTGGGTAGCAACGACCACTAGTGGTGGTATACAACAATTGTTGTTGGTCATAGGTTTCAAACTTTCTCCAAAAGTATAGACTTAGCTCTTAGCTTCTTCCTACCTCCCATATTGAAAATTTGATTCTATTTATAGAGATTTGAAAAAGATTTTTTTAATAAATTTACGCAAACACTCCCTTGGTGCATAGTTCATTTGATCATAAATCTGCTTTTACATTTAAGTGTCTTAATGACATCGGAATTGAGAGTGTGATTGTTTTAACTTACTTATAAGCCAAAATACTCAATTTTATTATGAGCATGCTATATTTAGAAATAATCTGACATTTCAATTAATATTTTAAGGTTTCTAATCATAAATCAAATGCTTGATTTGAGCTCGTTTGAGTTTAGGCCAAATCACTTTCAATGTTGTTGGGTTCTTATGATTGATATATTCAATTTAGCTCTAAAATTATTGAATTCTACGCTTGAATAATCATGAATTTATTTTTGAAGAATTTATTATATAACATGCATCAAGTTAATGCTCCCATCAATTAGATTTTCCGGTGACATATCAAATGTCTGAATTCTTAAAATGACATCAAAGTATTCCTCTTATTAATTTTTCTTGAATAAAACATAATTTTTCATACATGCATTTTAATGTAATAAGGGTAATAGAATATAATATAAATAAAATTTAGGTGATGAATATGTAAATACAAATGAATGGCATATATATATATATATATATATATATATATATTAAGCCCACAAACATAAAATAGAAAATAAATTGTATAGATCATAAAATGAAGATTAGTCTTTCACTTTGATTTGAAAACGCATGATAAATCATGTGCAGCCCTGAATTTAATCCTATTCATATCAATCAGCTCACGAATAAAATTAATAAAAATCTTATTAAATTGAATTAAATCAACATGTATTCAGTCCAATTAATTTTAAGTTTATTTTTGTACGGGGATGGTATGACATTTATTTATTCTTGTGTTACAGCGGACTCCAGATCAAATTAGGCTCAAAAGGGGACGATTCCATGATCAATTAGCCCCTAATTCGCCTTCTGAAGTGTAAACATGGAATTAGATGCAGATGCCCCTTTTCTATTACTTTCATGTTTTAGTATTTGAATGAAAATTTCCTCAAACCACTTTATTAAGTCTTTCAAATCTGATACGATATTGAAAAATTCATTTTATGCGGTACAAAAAAATATATGTTTTTAAGTTTCTGCACAAATTAGTGGAAAATAAATGAAGAATTTTCAAATGTCATATTCAAATGCTAATCTTATCCCAAATATATGTACATCCCCAACGCAGCCTAATTTACACGAAGAAAACACAAAAAAATCTGTTGTAGAGTAATTGACTGAAGCTTGTTCCCCATCTCAACTACACCACTACATATTACGTGCATGCACTTAAATTTCATGCATTTGACAGTCAAATTTATCGAGCATTGCCCATCGATTCCGTTTCTTCCTGCCATTTATAAAGCATATTATGCATGCAAAGCCAAAACTTCTAGGAAATATGTGCAATTCTTGAAAACTAATGGCTCTATGTGAAACTTTAAAACATTCCCCTAAAACCTTCAATTTCATCTTTATGTATCACTAGAACAAATATAACACGATCGCACATCCCTCGCACCAGCCAACAAAGAGATCATTTGTGGTCGCATTTGTTTTTTTATTTTTATTTGCATTATTAAATTATGATTTGAAGCAATACATATTTGGCATATTTGATGAAGATATGATTCTTATTATAAAAACGCAAAGTTTGTACACGTGAATGGGGTACTTCTGCCTTATCAAACAAAAAAAAAGGGAACAATGAAGAAGCTAACGTCTTCCTAATATATTACAGCTGGAAAAATAATTGTGCTGAAATATAAATTTGAGTTACCTTATCACAGGGCTGTGTGGAAGCACGAACAATAATTTTTTCTCAAGCGGACTCCTTAGAGTCCTCCGGAGAATTAATAAGTGGAGCGTTAGGTCCATCAGAAACTGATTGGGCAGCTTCTTCGTTCTTGTTGACAGGATAAAACACGTAATGCTGTAGTATGAAGAGGATATCAAAGAATACAACCTCCTATTTAAGATAAAAAAAAAAAAAGCACAATAGGTTAGAATTAAAAAAAAAAAAAAAACTCCAAGAGAGAATCACGGTGCTACTTTGCAAGTTTCATTTACTCAATCAGTTGATTTGGATTGAAAAGAACATTAATCTTAGTAACTAAATGGAATCACCCTCTTAATTCACTTGTCTTTTACTAGAGGATTAGAATCGTCAATGGATCTTAAAGGTAGTGGTGATTATTTTAGGAGGGAGATAGAGAATTATGTACCAGCGAAAGCAGGGTCTTCCCTATATTGCCGTAGAAGTTTACCCATGTATCTGTACAACAATAAGAACAGGTTAATGAGAACAGAATTTCAAAATAAAAGATTAAAAGGGTGGGTTGGAGCTTCTTATTTAAAAGCATGTTGGGCATACTTTGGTCTATAGACTGAACAGACATTTGGACAAAGTTGAGCAGTCCACCAGTTAGATCAAGCAAAATATTCCCAATGCTCCATCCTACTGTGCTCTTGCGTTTGAAGTTCATGAATGCCTGTAATAGCAACCCTGGTGATCAACACATCTAGATGCATAAAAAGAAAATTAAAAAAGATGGATTAAGGAGCTCCTGAGTTAATCATGCATGACAAGTTGTATTAATCCCATTTTTGTGAAAAATTTACTTTTGAATTTTATGAAACAGCGGCAGGTCTCGACATTTGAAATACCTCGTGAAATTTTAGAAAAACCACAAACACCGTACAAGAATTATAACACTTGCCCAACTTATTATTTCCTACAATGAATGAAAATAAGATAGATAGGCAATTATATAGGTTTAAATGCTATCAAAATTGAAAAAATATTCAAAACAAGAGGAAATGCTGATAAACAATAATATTAGGGACACAAATATTAGGGGTATAAAAAATGGACCCACATGCCAACTTGACTCGAACCTGGCTCATAAAATCCAATTTCGGATTGACCGAATTAAATTTTGGGTTGGGTTCAAGTCTAAAGTTCCAAATAGTTTAATTTTTTGGGTCGGCCAAACCAAAATTGACCTAAATATAACCTGCTAACCAACATTTGATTTGAACTTGACTTGAAATTAACCCGAATTTGACCCAAGTAACTATTCCACATATATTAAATAAGTCGAATTCTGCTTAGTCGGGATGATGGCCGGTTGGGTTCAGGTCAAACTTTCTGATTCAATTAATATTAGAGTCGTGTTCGAATTGAACGCTTTCAAATCGAGTCAATTTTGGGCCAAACTCGAACCCGACCAATGAATCTGATTTGACAGCCCTGGCAAATATTAAAAAGCTTTAAATCATAAAAGAATATGAAATTTGTTGATGGTGTTGGACAAACTTAGATTGTTGTAGTACATCTGTATCCTTATGAACAACATATTAGTCATATAATATGATGAAGGCAACTCAGGTGTACAATTTAATATGATGTACATTACAATTATATACAAAGGAAATGAGGATTTACATATCGCACGTTACCGATTTATTCAATTTCTTTAAATATAAATAAACAATACTTGAACTTAAAGCCAATTAGATAAAATGAACAAAATAATCCGAGAAAATCAGCAAGGATTTAGGTTCACATAAATCAGCAGCAAGTTCGATGTGATTTTTCCAAATAGGAATTCCAATGTGTTAAATTTTGAAAAAAAAATCTATCAAACCAATATCAAGCCATGTGGATGAAATAAAAACAAAATTTTGAACGAATGAAGATAAGAAAAGAAAAACTATGCCCTCATACTGGTACAGGAAGATAAGTTTCCCTGATATTAGATGTCACATTTGTAACGCACTCAAAAGGATTCAAGTATTCAACTTACACTCACAAAATTGAAAATTAAAAAACAAATTTTAAGTTGGCCAAAAGTGAAAAATTACATGCTTCAGGACATATTCCTCACCCTCTAGCTAAAGGATGTAGTTTGCAAAAAATTAACTGTGTTTGAATTAATCCCAAATTTAATTTTGATAACAATTTGAAAACTCCTAAAGAATTATTTGATGAAAAAGCTTGTTATTATATTCAACATATGTGTTTAAATAGGCCTTACAATGTTTAACAAATAAATCCAATAAAACCCTCTTATTACACATAACACAACACTCCATTGCAAGATGGGCAAAAGATATTCACTAAGCTAACTCCACTAAACCAAGTCCTTTGGTGAGGCGGTCAGCCACTTGCTCTCCAATAGCTACATGATTTATTTCCAACAATCCATTATTCAGACTTCTATTATCCAGCTTCTCCTTGATGAAGAACCTATCAATCTCCACATATTTAGTTCTATCGTGTTGAACCAGGTTGTTAGCAATGTCGATTGCCGACTTCTTGTCACAACACAACTTCATTTAAGTTCCCTGATCCACTTTAAGTTCAACCAACAAGTCTTTCAGCTACATCATGTCAGCACCTCTTAATGGATGACCCTATATTCTGCCTCTGCTGTTAATCTTACTGCAACTGACTATTTTTTGCACTTCCACGAGACCAAGTTGCCACCTACAAATATGTAGTATCCTGATGTGGATCGTTTGTCATCATCACAACTTGCTCAATCAAAATCACAAAAGCAGATATTTAGATACCCATTCTTCCTAAGTATCAACTATTTCCCTGGTACACTCTTCAGATACCTCAGAATTTGATACACTTCATCCATCTGGCTCTTTCTTGGATCATGTATGTAGCGGCTCACCACACTTATTACAAAAAAGGTATTGGGTCGAGTGTGACAATTTAGATTAGGCGGCCCACCAGCCTCCAATACCTCTCACAATTAACCGATTCATCTGACTCTTTAATGAGTCTGATCTTCTGATTATTTGGAGAGATTGCATGTTTGCATCCCCACATACATGTCTCCGTGAGAAGTTCCAGTACATAATTTCTATAGAATAGGACCATCCCCTTAGTTCTATAGGTTACTTCAATCCCAAGAAAATATCTGAGTTGTCTCAGATCTTTTACCTCAAATTGTTTCCTCAATCTTCCCTTTAGTTGAGCAATCTCTGTCTCATCATCACCAGTGATGATTATTTGATCCACATACGCAAGTATGGTAGTGTGGCCTTCATGTTGCCGAACGAATACCGTGTGGTCTGCATTGATCTGGTGATATCTCATATCAACCATCGTCATTCTAAACTTGTCAAATCATGCTCAAGGGGACCGCTTCAAGCCATACAGTGACTTCTTGAGCCCACACACCTTGTTCACTGCTAAGATGTATTGAATTCTGATAGTATATCCATATATACCTCCTCCAGTAACTCCTCATTAAGAAAAGCATTCTTCAAATCTAGTTGGAAGAGTCATCCACCATTCACTACCAGAGAAGCTAGTTTCCTCGCCGTGCTCATCTTTACAATTGGAGCAAATGTTTCGTCATAATCAATGTCATACGTCTGACTGTATCATTTTGTCACTAGTTGTGCTTTGTACATTTTCACCCCCTTCTAGAATTTTCTTTACAATGAAGATCCACTTGCACCCAAATGTCTTCTTACGTGCTGGTAGTGGTATAATATCCCATGTTCGGCTTTTATCAAGAGCTCCAAGCTTTTCATGACCATTGTTTTTTATTTGGGATCCTCTTTAGCAACCTGCCAAGACTTGGGTATAGAGACAGAGTCCAATGATGTAATGAAAGTTCCATGCAAATATGAGATGTTAGAATAAGAAATAAAGTTTGCAACGTCAAGTTACCAACCAAAATAGTATGGATCATGTCCTGCATTGCTGCGGGAGGTCCTCCTTTACGTTGGGGGGCAGGAGTAGACCGGGGAGGAATAATATCACCTGTAAGTATTGAATCAAATGTGGATGGTGTAGATGTCTTAAGAGTTGAGAAAGAAAGAGACGAGACTTCTTGGCATTGCAGACTATGTTCCCTCAATCTGCATCTCCATATGTACACCCTTAAATCACCTTCAACCTGAATCACACCACCTATGGATTCATCCCACATCACAAGACATGACATTGCTCCCACATGTACCACTCCATCATCACTACTACTCACTCTCTCTTGCCTCATATCTCTAGTGTTTGTTGAGTCGTTGATTGGTGAATTCACCTTCAAAGTATAGTACGGTTCAAACTATTTGAATAACAAATCCATACTCACAAAGACTCTCTTCTCAATCAGACTCCAACAAACATAACCCTTCTGAGTAGCATAATACCCATGAACACACATTTCACGGCTCTGGGATCTGACTACCCTATAGATGGTTGTTGTCTTTCACAAAGCATACATATTCAAATACCTTCAATGGAAGGATATCACTATTGTCTTCTTTCAACATCTGAAAAGGAGACTTTCACTCCAGCACTTCTGAGAGCATCTTATTAATCAATTGAGCGGTTGTCAACACCGTTTGCCCCCCATAAATACCTTGAGGCATTCAATGTCATCATCATGCTTCGGTTTACCTCTAAAAGATGTCGATTATTCCTTTCTGCTACTCTATTATGTGCTGGTGTGTATGAGAATGTGGTTTAGTTTTGTATCCCTTGAGCTGATACTAGTTCTCAAATGCTTTGTTGATATATTTTGTCTCATTATTAGTTCTCGATGCTTCACAACTGCCCCATAGTGGGTCTGGATTGTCTTGTGAAAATCTTTAAAAAAAACAACCACCTAACTCTTCTGTTTCATCAAGTATATCTAGTTAACACAAGAAAAACAATTAATAAATGTAGCAAAATAACGATAATCATTCATAAAACTATTAGGTCAAGGTCCCCATACATCAAAATGTATCAAATCAAACATATCGGAACTCCTATTCCCAAAACTAATATATGAGCTTCTAGTGAGATTGTCAAACTCACAAGCATCACACACCAATTTCTCCTAATTTGCCTTTTCATACAAGGATGGATACAAATGATTTAATAGGATGAACGAAGAGTGTCCATGCGTCTATAATGTAGCAACAACATAGCCTCCACACTCCTCTCAGATCCTATTGCTCCAACATTCTCAACCATGGATGCAAAGGCTGAGTCCATCTCCTCTCTATCGAGTCCACTATGCCATGTGTCAGTCCTAAGTTTCCAGCCAGTCCCCTTCTCTTGTAAAATTACTTTTGGAATATCAAATGAAACAACACATTTTAATTGGAGTATAATGACACTACTAGATAAAAACTCACTAGAAAGAAAGAAGCATATAAAACATTAGACAAAATCATAGAATTAATACAACTCATTGTACCCTTACCGCCCATAAGTTGTATTGAACCATCAACAATCTGAATGTTTTCTAAAATTACTAGGTGAGTATAAGAAGAGAACTCACTAGCAGCACCTTTCACATGTTGAGATGCACCATAATCTATTATTCATTATGGTGAACTTTTGATGGATATAGAGGTAAGAACAAGTGTATCACGAACATCTTTAATTTAATGAGCATAGCTAGCAATGTTTCACTTAGATGATGATAAAGTGGATGCATCCTAAGTGACATCACATGTCGCTCTCTACTTCCTCTTCAACATCTCCAGTAACTCGTAATCCTCATCGGTAAAGACCACCCCTATTTTTCCCTCGCTCTCTGCTGCCATCGCACTTGCGTGATAGCCCCCTCTTTTACTCTTTTGGCTTCCACAATTACGACCACTGCCTCTAGATTGTCCACTTCCACACATCCCTCTCTCTTTGGGTAGATTTGAACGCGTATTGCTCAGTTTTTCCACTTCTGAGCAGTTGTAGCACCTATGGGTCTCTCCCTGAGCACATGTCCTACCTGAGCTCAAGACAACCAAAGCTGATCGCATTCCTGGAAGTCCACTCGGTTGATTCGGAACACATACTGAGGCAGTGGCTCTCGTCAAGACACTAGCTCCTTGTATGTGCCCGACCAAGACCTTCAGAACTTCAGGATCCATCTTCCCTAGAAGTTTTAATCCTTTCTGAGCAGTTGTAGCATCTATGGGTCTCTCCCTGAGCACATGTCCTACCTGAGCTCAAGACAACCAAAGCTGATCGCATTCCTGGAAGTCCACTCGGTTGATTCGGAACACATACTGAGGCAGTGGCTCTCGTCAAGACACTAGCTCCTTGTATGTGCCCGACCAAGACCTTCAGAACTTCAGGATCCATCTTCCCTAGAAGTTTTAATCCTTTAGCTCCCATATATCTCCGTCAACAGGCATCCACAATCAAAGGATCCATATTTAGATCACACAAAGAAGAGAGCGAGGTAGCAACAGAAGCCCTATCACTCAGACAAGGCAAAAAAGACCTTGATACAAGCTTTAAAACCTTCACTGTTTCTCTCTGACACCCTCATGACAAAAGAATTCTGAAAGTCCTAATCCTCACTGTTGCCTCTCCTGTTCACGCGAACCAAACACACGACTGTTCCTACCTTCCTTTTTTGTCATGCTCCACCTCTATTCACGAAATCAGCGTCGAAAACACCTTATTTAGTGTCGCACTGCCATCTTCTTCTATGTTGTCTGTCTCATGCACGATAGAGGAATTCTGAAACTCTTAGACCATACAGTCCCGCAATCCTTCTTCCTCCCTGTACCGCGATATGTTCTTCCCGAGTCCGCACGAAGATGCCGAGCCTCTCTACCCGAGCCTCGCACAGAGTGGCCGCGACCTTCTTGCCCGAAGCCTTCACCCTCCTCTGCTCACGCGCCAAGTGCCAGCGGGGGAAGCAATGTCGGAATCGCAGCACACAAGAAATCGCAGCGCGCAAGGAATCGAACCTCACTGCTGCTCGATCCAAACTCCTCACTCCGCCGGTGACGTGCAAGCCTCACCGCTCCTTTCCTTTTCACGAGAGCCAACCGCCGAAGACCCAGCCTAGCCAGTCGGAGCCTTGCACAATCCCGGCTCTAATACCATAAAGAATTATTTGATGAAAAAACTTACTATTTCATTCAACATATTAAATTGGTGTTACAGTGTAACAAATAAATCCAATAAAATCCTCTAAGTATACAACCCAATAAAATCCTCTAATTACACAAAACTCACAACACTTTCAACATTCTTATCTACAGCCGAATACACGGGACATAAACCTTAATCCTAGAAGCCAATAAAATTCCAAAATCCCAAGCAAGTATATATCCATACGCGTGTGCTCAACCAACAAAAATCACCAAGCACAACACCATAAATGGTTCACATGCACCTAGGAACCGCACAAGCTATAGGAATCATAAAAAAATATCCACTGATAGTAGGAATTGTAAGGAGTGCAGAACAATAAATCCTAACATGTGCTCAATATAACTCGAATCAAATAGCACATCAAATCAAAACCATGATTTGAATTAGCAGCACTAAATGAATAGTTCCAAAAACAATTCCTAATGCCTGATGGATAAATCCAGCAGCAACCATCATATAAGATCCCAATAGAAATTCCACTGGTAAATTCTATCACCCCAACTTGTTTAAACAAAGAAGCCAGCAACCCTAATCCTTCATAGTAGCTAATCGAAACTGAACGAAGATTGAAACCGTATCAGGCAAAAATGAACAAACCTAAAGCTAAGAAACAAACGCAAATCTCTTAGTCATTATCACTGACATGATCTTCATTATATAACTAACAACTAAAACTATTCAATTTATATAAAAATATATTAACTGTGCACTGATCATTGTTTGATGTGAAGCACCGATGAAAATAAAGACAGATTTTCGTGAAATTAATTGAAAAAACGCAAAAGAGCCTTATTTTTAAAAGTTTTTTTTTTTTTTTTTTTCCTTGAAATGACAAGAGCCTTACCTGGGGGATGTACTTAATCGCTGTCATGATAACTTGTAAGGTGCTGAAAATGCAAAATTTCCAAAAAGTAATTAAATAATTTTGCCATGCCTTAAGTAAAGCAATTGCTCAAATGGCGACTAAATGGTATGCATTCGTTGAGAATGAAAAACCTTGAGGTTATCAAACCCAAATAATTACTAATTATTTTAAATTATAAAGATCACCATTTTGGAAGAAGAATGCTTACTTGAACACGGAAACAAGCCATAGCCAAGAATGCTTAGGCCATGCAACAATTAAGGAAACTAAAGCAGCTGCCCAGGCAACGGAACTGATCAGTATGCAGCTCTTTGACACCTTCTGATTTCCTCTCTGTACATGCAAAATTAAAGTCAAAGCAATTATTAAAAACTTTTATACACAAATGAAATATTCATAAAAGGTAAGAGAATTGAAGTGGGAGAGGAAATGGCACTCACGTCATATATCAAAACTTGGAACAAGGTGAATCCTGTCAATAAAACTGCATGTGTTGAGAAAGCAACATCATTTGCTGCCACAGGAATCATCTGTGGAAATCAAAATCATTGAGTCAGACAGCACAGATAAAAGCAGAGTTTTGGCAAGCATATTGGAAAAAAATATATTATTACTCTAGCCTAAAGATATTAAATGACAAAACATGATAATCAAGAATAACCTACAACATTTAGTTCAGAGATTAGAATATGATATTGGCTTCCTCTTTCTAAGCTATCAAACACCAAGTTTTCTGTATCCTCTCGAGTCCCACATAACTCACAAAGCCTAACTAAACCTACCCTAATCAACATCTAAATCCAAATAAACCAAAATCAATAGATTTTTTAGGAATTGCCTTCAGAGTCTCATTTCTATGACACCCCTCAATAATCCATGTGGGTTGAGTGAGGTCTTGCAATACCTAAGTCCACAAATGATAAACCTATCAGTTTTTATCATAACTTTAGGCAAACAATGTTATTATGCTTCTTGAATCCAAAACATTGTTTGTCCAATAATCTTGTGGTTTGGAAGCTCCCGCTTGATAGAAATTTATCCCACATTTCTCCTTCAAGTTCACCAATATTTATATCCATAGTTACTTTCACTGTGCTGAGATTTGATGTTATATACAAGATGTTATGCTTGTTTCACATGAGGCTTTTTTTTGTTATTATTTATTAATTTTTTTTTACAATACCACTATGATAAATGGAATGCTTAAACGTAAGAGATTCTCCATGCTGCAAATTGACATATGGCAACCATCTTCAAACAAATAGAAGATGAAAATTAGGTCTTTGATACCCTCCTAATGAAGCAAATAACATGTTCAGAAGTTTTAACAATAGAATAGGGAGGATATTATTTTTTATATCTAGGCTAGGTATGAGGTATTATAATCCGCATGTCAGGATCAACAAAAAAAAGGACAATAATAGATAAGATACAGTGTTAAGCAACTATCTGATAATTTCCAGAGAATCCAATGAGTGCCAAAACTGAAATACAAAATTCGATGCCAAGTAGGCCAAAAATATGGTTTGATCAAAGAAGGACAATAATAGATAAGATACAGTGTAAGCAACTATCTGATAATTTCCAGAGAATCCGATGAGTGCCAAAACTGAAATACAAAATTCGGTGCCAAGTAGGCCAAAAATATGGTTTGATCAAAGAATTAAACAAACACAATTTACCGCAATCATATTAAACATAACGAGATATCGGAACAATAGACTAATCATTACCTACGAGATTCAAATCATGAAAACCCAAAGAAGCTCATCCCACATAGCTATAAGAGATATCACAATAACCCAGTTTATTCTCCCAATAGAAGGAAAATTTTCAAAAATGAAGAGAACCAGCACTAGTTGTAAACGGGATCGAGGAAATAACGTACAAGGAGAATCAAATGAAGCGTCTACCAACCTCATCATATCCATATTTCTCACGGTACTGCCTCTGGATTACAGGGCTAAAGAAAAGCGCGGCGTTATAAATCAGATATGAGGAGTGCTTCGTCAAATTCAGCACCAAGAAATCAAAGTTCAATCCGACCACGCTTCAATCACAAGCACAAAAACCAAGTTGAAAAAACAGAATCATCTAATTTTGATCTTTCTTTCAAGGGGCAGAAATGAAGACAGTTAGTCCGACCTTTTGCGTTTGAAATTGAGGAGAACTTGAGGGTAGAAGCTGAAGGACCAAGCGAAGAACGCGATCCATCCGAGTACCTGGTACGTTACTTCAAGATAAACGGAATTCCACGCCGCCATTTTTCTCTATTTGGTACTCTCTTCCTCTCTCTCTCTCTCCCTAAAGAAGAAAAAGGAAAGAAGCTCAACGTGCACCAGCTAGTGGGGTTAGCGGGAGTTGCAGGCAACTTTATAATAGTATTATAATAGGAAGTTTGCAGCTTTACAGAAAAACCATCGCCTTCCCCTGTTATTGCCGTTATCTGTTCTAACCCGGACGCTATTTCGGCTTAGTACATGTTAGGGAGAATAAAAGTAAAATAAAAATTATTTATTAGAATAATTCAAATATGAATCTCTAATTGGAGAGAAAATCATCTATCAATAACATCAAAAATCATGCACGATAGAATTTTTTATCACAATAATATGAATTTTTAATACAAGTCTATATATTTTATTTTAGGATAAGAGTAAAGATTGTAGTTGTTTGAAGAAGCAGCTCTAAAATCACTGTAGAATAAGTTATTATTCAAAAAATTATAATGATTATTATTAAAAAAATATTAATTATTTCATACCGTGTAAAATTTAATGAAAAAACATTACATAATATGGCTACTTGCATTGTATAGCGAAGTAATTGATTATAAAATAAATGCAAAAGAAATATCGAAGACAATTGTGTAATTGTATTTAAACCAAAGTGATTCATTCGTATACAACCATGTGTTGCCTTTTAAACTCAAAGAAAGAGCAATTCTTATGTAATTATATATATCATAGAAAAAAAAATAGTTTCTTTCAACAATTTGATTTGAAGTAAATTACTAGCTTTGCTTGGTTGCATCAAAGAATCTTCTGTTCAAGCATTTCCCAGGGTTTTCTCAGGTGAGCTGATATGGCTGCCTTTTCGAAGAGTATTGATTGGTTGCTTTCTTGTCCTTAGGATAGGGCACACAATACTGAATTGTAAAGAGGAGATCAAAGAGCACAACTACCTGCAATTGGTTAGGAGAAGAAAATATTAGTAGCAAGTTCTCCAAAAATAAAAAAGGCAACATGCTTTGTAATGCAAAAAAAGAAAAAATCTTGCTAATGGATATGCCGAACTAATTAGGCAAATTTATAAATGCAGACATTAATTCTTTTATTCCAAATAGTTAGATTTTGTAGTTATTTGAAGAGTAGAAAGTAAGAAATCCAAGTGTACATAAACAATGAGTCACTCGGTGTCTCGAGAAAATCCAATGAACTAAGAGACAAGAAAATACACCAAAGGAGGACCCGTAGAAGGGAGATCAAAAGTCTCATCACCAGAAAATCAATGAACTTAGTTGACCAAGTGGGTATCCTTTAAATCGGGACCAGAAGCCGATCAGGTGTGGGCGGCCCGAGCCACAGACCAAGATCATTCATGCCGAGAAAAGACATCAGCCCAACTCTCCCCCAAACATTGTTTGTCATCTCATACGAGCCTCCAAGTCTCTTCATCAAGAGGCCAAGAATTTTATCACAATATACTCAAAGAGAATCTCGGAAGACTCTCTATCAAGGAAATAATTACCTGTGTGATTACAGTGCTCACTACAAGAAAATTACGGATTAGAGTAAGAATTAGCGTTTGTCTGATTTGTGTCGTTTAGAGTCATTCATTGTTTTAAGATTGAAAGTTTTGACACAGATGATTGCGTCGAGCCGTCGACACTGAATCGACGCAGTAGAGTCATAATTGTCTAACGCTAAAATTACTTAATAGCTTTGGAACATTCCAACGATATGGTGAACGTAAAAGCCCTAAAAAGCCATCCCTCCCAATCGAAACTTCATTTCCTCCGCATTTCTTTTCAGTGCAATGCAGGCGGCGAAACCGAAACTCCTAGGCGAATCCGGCAAAATCCAGTGATTCCAGCCACCTCAAGCGACTTCAGAAACATTTCCACCAACCAAATCTCTCATCCGACAAGGTGAACCCCTTCTCTAAGCTTTTGATAAGTTTTTTTCTTTCTTTCTTTCTATGCTTTTGGTAAGTTTTTTCTTGAAAATTTCGGTTTTAATTTTTCCGTTTTAAGTATATTTCATGTTTAGGAGTTGGATATGTAATGAATATATTTGACGTTAGTATTATGTGAAAAATCTTTTTTTTTTTTTTTTTTTGGAAATTTGAAGTTTAGGTGTTACATGTATAAATACATAAGGATTGTGTTACATGCATGTATATTTTGGAAAAAAAAAAATCATTGTGTAGCACACATGCATGTATATTTTGGAAAAAAAAATCATTGTGTAGCACACATGTATATTAAAAAAAATGTGTAGAATCTAAGTTGATTACCTAAGAATTGTTTAGCATGATAGATTTAGTGAAATTTTAAAACTTAGGCGTTAGACATGTAAATGTGTTAGAACTATGTGGTATGCATGTAGAGAGAGAGAGAGAAACTTATAGTTGTATACTATTAAATGTAGTGATTCTAGTTTATATCAAGCTAAGCACAAATAAACCTCACTAATTATGTTGAGGAAAATCAACATAATTTCGAGTTAAATAAAATTATAGTAATTATCACGCTACTAGATTAGAACAGTAAATTCATCTTCTAAATCATAATAGTGGACGTGGTCTTTTTAAAGATTAGACCTTGACATTCCCTTACGAACACTAAAGGTGCTATTTGCCTCTTGCATGTCCCCTCTTTGCAACACTACTAGCAAAATGAGTTAAGAAAGGTAGAGTTATACATAAAAAGACGAAGGCATGTTGTATAAAAATGATCTCAATCAATAAGATTTAAATGAAAAATATGACACTCAGTTGGACTCAATGACATTGTACTAATCTATAGAACTACATCTATGATGTAGATGTATATCTAAAATACGAGATCATTAATGTATAATATATCATATCTAAGAAGACAATTACTTACTAATGAGTTTTTGGTTGGTTGAGGAATTCATGCAGGCATCATGGCAACTCCATGTTTACCATTCAGAATGAAGGTTTCGCTGTCCCAGTGCGAAACACAAGAATCAAGCGTGCCTAATGCCTGAAAAGGTGAAGTTGAATTTATAAAGTATAGGATTTAAACCTGATTGTTGGTATTGAACTTCACATGGTGAATTTGAATCAGATGTTCAGTATGATCTTTTTGAAGCCTCATCAAGTTATGCCCTTCCAACGGTTCCCTATTCTGGCATATATGAGGAAATGATTGTTGATGTCGGCAGAGCTCATTTTGTTGGAAGTGTGATTGGTGATGATCAAGAACCGAACATTGAGATGCAACAAAATTTTGAATTATTAAATGTTGCACAACATCCTTTGTGAGAATGATGCACTTCATATACGAAGTTATCAGTTGTTTGAGAATGCTGAGTATCAAATTTGATTTCAATATACAAAGGTAATGCTTCAATTGGGTAGCAACATTATTAAAGGAGATGAACTCTACAGAAAATTTAGCCCCATAAGATTTGTATAGAACTAAAAAGTTAGTGTTGAAGTTAGGGCTGCAGAAGATACAAACTTCATATTGCTGATATTTTCAAACCAAGGGCGACAAAGAATAAAAATTAGAAAAATATTATTTACAAACATTTCTTTTACTTTCCTCTCATTCCATAGTTTCAATGATTCTTTGCTTCTATGCCCACAGTTCCTCACATGATATGGCATAATATCGGATCTGTTGGTGATAATACAATGATTCATCCTTCAATTGGTGAAGCTTGAAAACACTTTAATAACAGGTATCCTTATTTTGCAGCAGAATCACATTACATTAAGCTTGATTTTTGTATGAATGGGTTCATACCTTACAATTAAGCTGCAAAACCCTATTCTTGTTGGCTAGTTATTATCATGTCATATAATTTGCCCCCTGTTATTTGTATGACTATGTCTTCCTTATTTTTAATGTTGATCATATCAGACCCACATAGCTCAAAGGATAAAATTGACGTGTATGCCTCTTATAGATGAGCTACATGTAATATAAGAAACCAGTGTGTGGCTTATGATATTACAACAAAACAAAACTTTCACCTTATAACTGCTCTTCTTTTGACGACCAATGACTTTATGGCTTATGGGATGCTACTGGTTGGAGTACAGGTGGGAAATTGGTCTGTCCCTATTGCATGGACATGTGCAAAGCATTCACTATGAAGCATGGAAGAAAAAATTCCTTGTTTGATTGTCTTCAAAGGTCTTAGCATGTGATCACCCATTCAGAAGGAATAAAAATGCATTTTTTTAGAAATAGCTTTGAAAGGTCAAGCTATATATTGCAGGAGATCAATGAAGTGTCAAAGATCACTGAGAGTCTGGAACAAGCCTCGAGTCATCTTCCAAATTCTAGTGTTACACATAACTGAATGAAGTGAAGTATTTTTTGGAATCTTGCATACTGGATTACTAACCTGATTAGATATAATCTGGATGTTATGCATATTGAGAAGAATTTTTTTGATAATATATTTAATACTGTTTTGAATATCAAGGGGAAAATAAGAGACAACATCAAAGCAAGATTGGATCTGAGGGAATAGTGCATGAGGAGATGGTTAGAACTACATGAGACAAATGCGGGTAAAATAGTAAGTCCCAAAGCTGCATATTGTCTCACATTAGATCAATGAAATAATATCTTTGAGGGTTGCATTCTTTAAAGTTTTTGAGTGGTTGTGTTTTAAAAATAAACCGATATGTTGATTTGGGAATAGGAAAAATATTTGGTATGAAGAGTCATGGTTGTTATATTTTCATACAGTGTTTATTACATATTGCATTCAATGTCATGACAAAACCGGTACTTGATTCGTTGATCAAAATCAGTACATTCTTCAAGGAGTTGTGCACGAGCACTTTAAATGTTGATTCTCTAAGAAGTCTTGATGCGAGTATTGTATTAATTCTATGCAAGCTTAAACAGGTATTTCCTCTCAGTTTTTTTGACTCATTGGAACATTTGTCCATACATTTGTGTTATGAGGCTATATTGGGTGGTCCACTGTAATACAAGTGGATGTACCTTTAATAAGAATGACTTTTTATTTTAGAGTGAACTAGTATCTTTTTTTTTTCTATTATTCCAGTGCAATACAGGTGGATCGTTCGATAAGTGTGGTGCAACCATCCCATAAAGGTTGTTATGAAGCATTCAGTAACTCATAGAAC